TAGTTTCACAGTAAAAGTCTGTGGTTTCACAGTAAAAGTCTGTAGTTTCACAGTAAAAGTCTGTAGTTTCACAGTAAAAGTCTAGTTTCACAGTTAAGGTCTGTAGTTTCACAGTAAAAGTCTGTGGTTTCACAGTAAAAGTCTGTGGTTTCACAGTAAAAGTCTGTGGTTTCACAGTAAAAGTCTAGTTTCACAGTTAAGGTCTGTAGTTTCACAGTAAAAGTCTGTGGTTTCACAGTAAAGGTCTGTAGTTTCACAGTAAAAGTCTGTAGTTTCACAGTAAAAGTCTGTAGTTTCACAGTATAAGTGTGTAGTTTCACAGTAAAAGTCTGTAGTTTCAAAGTAAAAGTCTGTAGTTTCACAGTAAAAGTCTGTAGTTTCACAGTAAAAGTGTGTAGTTTCACAGTAAAAGTGTGTAGTTTCACAGTAAAAGTCTGTAGTTTCACAGTAAAAGTGTGTAGTTTCAGGCCCTGACCCTGTTGGTGTTTCTGGCTGCAGTACTGGCGTCAGGTGTACCTGGTGATGGTCCTGGCCATGATCCTGACCGTGTTCTTCGCTCAGATCCACCCTCTGTACCTCAGCAAGCAGTGGAAGCGGCTCCGCTCGCTCATCTTCTGCTCCGTGGCCGGCTACGGCCTGGTGCCCACCGTCCACTGGGTCTGGATCACGGGGGGCTTCTCCTCCGAGCTCGTCCAGGTGAGCCCAGGCGTTTGTTTTTAATAACGCTTTAAAAAAACAAATAAAAGTATAACGCAGTGTTTCCTGCCTGCAGGCCTTCGTCCCTCGGATCCTGGGGATGTATTTCATCGCAGCTTTAGCTCTTATTTTTTATGTGTCCAAAGTTCCTGAACGGTACTTCCCAGGTCAGAACTTATTTCAGATCAGTGCCTTCTAACATTTTAAAGCCTTTACTTTTCTGTTTGATCTCATCTCTGTCACATCCTAACACAAAACATACGTTTAGTTTTGGTTGAGCACTTTAACACCTTTCAGCCTGGGATGCTCTTATTTTGAAAAGTTCACAGTTGTTTTCCTGGGTTTGACTCAGAGTTGAGCAGTTGTTAATACAGTTGATTTCAGGTTTGTTTCCGCTCGTCCTCCTGGTTCAGGTCAGCTGAACTACCTGGGCTCCAGCCACCAGGTCTGGCACGTCCTGCTGGTTCTGATGTTCTACTGGTGGCACCAGTCGTCCTGCTTCATCATGGCGTACCGACACAGTCAGCCGTGTCCCGACGCCCCCAAATACTCGTAAACCAGGTGCGTGGGACTCCACGTGCAGCACTGTTCGAGTCGACCCTTTAGAGGATCTTTAACAGAACTTTTCTCTCTTGGCAGGTGGAGCAGATCTTCAGAGTCCGGGTCAGAACTCCTCCTGTAAGTGCCTGTAAATGAGACCATGTAGCTTCTTTTACTCAAGTTTTCAGCTTCATACAGTCTGTTTGTTCTGGTAGAAAAGGGAAACTGAGGATTGTTCCAACACACGGCCTCTTCTCTCTTCTCAAACGTCTTTATCTGTGTGTAAAGTTTGGACTCTGTGGACCTGATCACAGGTGCGACTCGACGACCTGAATGTACTCTGGTTTCACACTGGAACAGTTTTAACAAACACGACAGTTAAAGGGACAAATATCTCATTTCTGAGGGTTCAGTGTTAACTACCGTATATTTCGGACTATAAGCCGCACCCCCAACATAAAAAAACAGTACACACAAAATTGTCGTCAAAAAAGTGAATTCAACACCAAAACATAAAAAGCAACCCTTTAGGAATTAAAGTTCGGAGGAATACGGTTCATTTAACTGACCTTATTTTGGTAGTTTTCTTAACAGTTTCTGGTCCAACAAAATGTCTCATTCATCGTCCTCAGGCACACTGAAACCATCGAAGTAAAAGTAGTAGGGGGACGTGTTCACGTAGGGGGGACGTGTTCACTTAAGGGGGACGTGTTCATGTAGGGGGATGTGTTCACGTAGGGGGACGTGTTCACGTAGGGGGGACTTGTTCATTTAGGGGGACGTGTTCACGTAGGGGGACGTGTTCACTTAGGGGGGACTTGTTCATTTAGGGGGACGTGCAATGTTAGTTTTAAAGTCTTCATGTCAGACTCTGATCAGGTGGTTCAGTATTATGTAACAGAACTCTGTCAGACTGTTAACTTTAACTCTGTGAGACGCAGTTTAATAAAACCATCATTAAAGCAGGGGTCCTGGTGGGCTGTAAAGGATGTTAGTTTTAGGCTGACGGGAAAACTCTCCTGTTTTTTTTAAATTATTCACAGCCCTGATCTTTGTAAAAATGAATAAAATGTTTTGTACAGAACATTATTTTATGTTTTTGTTACAGCTGTGACTAAAATAATTTACTGCTTAGAGCTGGGCGGTATGACCCAAATTTTATATCACGGTATTTTCAACAATTACACCAGTTTCGTGGTATTTGACTGTATTTTGTTTTTCATCACAGCTNTGCAGCAGGACCGGGTCCAGGTCCAGATAAATGGGTCCAGGTCCAGATAAATGGGTCCAGGTCCAGATAAATGGGTCCAGGTCTTTAGTAAGATGGACGACAGGAAGTCACTGCTTGGAGGGAAACGGTGCCGCTCCAAACGGGTCCAGGTCCAGGGTCTGTGAGGCCTGCTGGGGTCCACTGTGGATCACCAGTTCTGTGAACGGCACCGCCCCGAAGTCGTCTATGGTCCGGCTCTCCCCGCCGTTCAGGGGTCCGGCCCAGGACTTGGCGGAGCCCCCGTCCTGAGGGTGGAAGGGGTCGAGGCCGGGGTCGTCGGGAGGGGGCGGGGCCCGGTCCTTGGCGTGGGACAGGAAGTCCACGCTGATGTTCTCCTTGGAGTCCGAGGGGCTCAGGAACTCAATGCTGCTCTGAGAGTCCCGCCGGCCCACCTTCTTGTGCCGGCGGACCCTCTCGGGGGTGCGGTAGGTGGGCTTGCTGGTCTTGCGGGCTCCGGTGGGGGTCCCGTGGTGGCGCTTGCTGCCGCCCGCCTCCTGCTTGGTCCTGCGTTGGCGTGACGACAGCCTCTGGAGGCTGCGCTGCCTCAGCCTCTGATTGGTCGACTCCTCCAGGCGGCAGATGTCGTCGGCGCTCCTGGAGGTGGCGGGGGGGTCCGGACCCGGGTGGAAGGGGGAGAACCCGAACGCGTCGATGCCCTCGGGGGAGACGGGCGGCGTTTGTCCCGCGGGGACGTCCCTGTTGGACCTGGACCGGTTCCTGCTGAACGGAGCTTTGGTGAAGACGTCCAGGTCGTCTGTGGGGGTCCGCTCCAGGCCCACCTGCCTGAACGGAGCCTTGCTGAAGATGTCCCTGGTCTCCGGTCCCAGGAAGGGAATGGCGCCGAACATGTCCACGTCCCCCGACGGTCCGGCGCCGCTCGGGGACACGGGGGGCGTGATCAGACCCGTCCCCGGGGGTCTTGGAGCGGGTTCTTTACGGCCCGCGGGTCTCTTGGAGCGGCTCCTGACCCTGCTGGGGTCAAAGTCCGAGTCGGAGCTTTGCCTGTCTTCGTCCTCCTCTTCCTCAGAGTCCATCAGCAGAGGTCTCTGTCCCAGGTGGTCCGGCTCCGTGTCCTCGCCGTGCTCGCTGTTCAGGACCTCCTCCTCCTCCTCTGGCTCCTCCTCCTCGCTGCTTTTCGGGGACGGGGGGTCCGACTCGAAGTCACTGTCGGAGTCGTCGCCGGGTCTGACGCCGGTCCTCCTGCCCGGTCTCTGCTTCGTGGTCGGGTCCGGATCGTCCGGGACGACGACAGGAACCTCTGTGGTCTGATCACTGGTTCCTGCAGAAACACATTAATAAACTTTGACTTGTTGATGTTTGTAAAGGAGATAATTAAGTGATTGAACCATTTTCATAAACATATAATTTATCATTTACAGCAGGAAGTTTTCCAGACATGTAAAAGTTAATCCCTCTTTTCAAGAATGGTGAGAAATATTTGTTCAACAACCTCAGTTTTCAAAGATTATAGAGAAATTATTTGTTAGCAGATTAGACAAATTTATTAAAGAGTAACACCCCAAAAATTAAATTTTTTAGCTGATAAACTGTCTAGAATGTGTCTAAAATGTTATATAGTACTGTTTCTGTGCTAATTTTGATGATGTTGTGTGTATTTGTT